AGAGAGAGAGAGAAGAGAGAGAGAGAGAGAGAGAGAGAGAGAGAGAGAGAGAGAGAGAGAAAGAATATGAGGCTTGGTATTGAAACCAGGGCTTCACATATGCTAATAATTTACTCTCCCAGTCCTTTGTCATTTTAGTCTTAATGGTCCGCAAGTGGATTTTTTTTTTTTTTTATTGTGACAAAGTCAAAATCTTGGAGACTTAGAGAAAGCAACTATAATTTTTGGATTTTATTTTGGTAAGTTTCTAGGACTATAGGTTTTAGATTCAAATCTGGATTATTTTCTGCATTTAAAAAAATATTCTACTTAATTGACTTCATGTCTTTTACTATTGTTTGCTCAAACTAATCATAGCTTGTCTTCACATGTTGTCTGATTTGTTTTTTCCCTCTTCCCAAGGACTCTCCTGCCATTGGACCCAGAGGCCTTTTTGTTGGAGACCTTGTCACTCATCTACAGGACTGTCCTGTTACTAATGTGCAAGATTGGAACGAATGTCTAGATACTATCGCCTATGAGCCCCAAATTGGTTATTGTATAAGTGCCTCAACTTTACAACAGTTAAGCTTCCCAGTTAGAGGTATGTGTATTTTGTCCGTGAAATATAATGCTTTGAACACAACTACCTTCTATTCACTAATCCTTAGACCATGTCTATAGATTTATTCTCTTCTAATATTTTTAAAGCAAGTCAGCAAAATAAACAAGCCCACACTAAGCATTATTCTTGGTAAACTGGATACTAAATATATGTTTCCTTTATTGTATATTATTGTTGAACTTCTAATTTATAATATCATATTTTATTTTTTTCAGGGGAGGGGTACCAGGGATTGAGCTCAGGGGCACTCAACCTCTTAGCCACATCCTCAGCCCTATTTTTTGTATTTTATTTAGAGACAGGGTCTCACTGAGTTTCTTAGCACCTTGACGTTGCTGAGGCTGGCTTTGAACTCACAATCTTCCTGTCTCAGCCTCCCCAGCCCTTTGGATTACAGGTGTGTGCCCCCACGCTTAGTTTATATTTGACTTTTAGAATTACAAAATTCTTTCTGTTCTTAAAAAATTTGCAGTGGTACACACTTAAAATCCCAGTGACTCTGGAGGCTGAGTCAAGAGGTTTGCAAGTTTGAGGCTAGCCTCAGCAACTTAGCAAGACCCTGTCTCAAAATAAAAATAAAAAGGATTGGGGACACAGCACAGTAGTAGAGTGCCCCTGGGTCCAATCTTTAATACGCCACTCCTCTCACCCCAGCACGTGCCTTTAATCCCAGCTACTCAGAGGCTGAGATAGGAGTGTCATAAGTTCAAGGTGAGTCTGGACAATTTAGTGAGACCTTGTCTCAAAATAAAATTTAAAAAATGGGCTGGGATAGCCAAGTCATGGAACCAGTCTAGGTGCTTGTCAAGAGATGAATGGATGAATAAAATGTGGTATATATACTCAGTGGTGTTCTACTCAGCCATAAAGAAGAATGGAATTGTAGTATTTTACTGTAAATGGATGGAACTGGAGAACAACATGCTAAGTGAAATAAGCTAGACAGAGAAAGTCAAGGGTTGAATATTTTGTCCCATATACAGAATCTAGACCAAAATAAAGAGGAGAAAAATGGGGGGTCCAATGAAAATTAAAGGAAGATCATTGGAGCAGAGGAAGAGAATTGAAGGGAGGGAGGAGGAACAGGAAAAGAGGAATAGTGGAATGAAATTGACCAAATTTACACACACATCATGGTGAATTTTACCTGTATGTATATCTACAATGCACCACTTAAAAACAACAACAACAAAAAAAAAACAGTAAATAAATCAAAGGAAGACCAGTAGAGTAGAGGAAGAAGAATGGGAAAGGGAAGAGGGGAGGGAAGGAGGGAGTACTGGGGAATGAAGTAGAGTAAATTATATTCTATATATGTATGATTATGTCAAAATGAAACTCAATATTATATATAACTATGATTCACCAACAAAAAAAAATTTAAATATAGACTGGGGATATCATTCAGTGGTAAAGTGCTTACCTAGCATGTGTGAAACTCTGGGTTCAGTTCGCAATACCATAAAAAAAAAAACTTGTTAAGGGGCTGGGGTTGTGGCTCAGCAGTAGAGCACTTGCCTCACACGTGTGAAACCCTGAGTTTGATCCTCAGCACCATATAAAAATAAATAAGTGAAATAAAGGTATTGCATCCAACTACAACTAAAACATAAATATTTCAAAAAAACTTGTTAAATCAGCACTCAAACTCAACCATAACCAATTAACTAAATTTAATTTAATTAATTAGGGGTACTTAAATACCCTAATATAATATCTTTATATGTAGATATATAATAGTATTTTCATTTATATAATTTTGAAATTAGTTTAAATAACAAGAAGCAATTTTCCTTTGCATAAACTTTCCCTTACATATTCTGGCTAAAATATACCTAAACTTAAACAATTCTAGTGGTAGCTGTGTGTGAATGGTGGCATATTTAAAACTATTTGGGATAGAGTTATTTTATATATTTTAGGTGGCAGAAATCCAGGAAAAGTTTTCTTGGCTAATGAAAATACCCCTTGAGGTCAGATATGTTGCCCTGTGCAGCAGGTAACAGGACTAATGTAAGTTTTTTCTCAGGACCCACTAAACATTTTGAGTTCTCTCAGCTCTAAAAAAGTCAGCAACTGGGCTGGGGTTGTCACTCAGCAGTAGAGCGCTCACCTAGCACATTAGATGCCTTGAGTTTGATCCTCAGCCCCACATAAAAATAAATAAAATAAAGATATTGTGTCCAACTACAACTAAATAATAAATATTTTTTTAAAAGTCAACAACTTAGCTGGGTGCAGTAATGCATGCCTGTAATCCCAGTGTATCAGGAGGCTGAGGTAGGAGGATTGCAAGTTCAGCCACTTAGTGAGGCCCTAAGCAAATTGGTGAGATCTTGTTGCTAAATAAATAAATACACACATACATAAATGTGTGAGGATATGTGTGTGAAAGAGACAGAGAGAGAGAGACAGAGACAGAGACAGACAGAAAGATTGTGTTGGGGGCTTGAGAGTAAGAGAGAGTACTAGGGATGTATGTAGCTCAATGGCAAAGCATCCCTGGGTTCAATCCCCAGTACAAAAAAAAAAAAAAATCAGCATCTCTATTTCTTTTCTTTTTGTAGTACTGGGAATTGAACTCAGAGCGCAATCTACTACTGAGCTCTATCTCTAGCCGTTTTTTATTTTGAGACAGGGTATTACTAAATTTTTCAAATTGGTCTTAAACTTGTGATCTATTTGTTTCAGCCTCGTAAGTTGCTGGGAAATCATCAGTACTCTTTTTTTTGTTAGTTGTTGATAGACCTTTATTTTATTTATTTTAATGTGGTGCTGAGGATTGAACCCAGTGCCTCACACATGCTAGGAAAGCACTCTACCACTAAGCCACAACCCCAGCCCCATCAGTATTCTTTATACAAAATTGTTGGGCCCAAATTTTTAAAGTGTTCCAAAATACAAATTATGTTCACAACCTGTATTTTTAGGTCAAGAAATACCCTAGATATTTGTCCACAACTACTGGTATAGGTAAATGTGATTAATATTCGAGAATAATTTTACTATGCAACAAAGGCAAAGTAGTGAAAACCATTTTTTAATTTTTTTCTCACATTTAGTCTTCTATATGTAACTTTATTTTCAGTGCTTGGGATTGAACTCTACCATTAAGCTACATTCCCTGCCCTAGATAATACACTTTTTAATTTTTTTTTAAGTTGTAGCTGGGCACAATACCTTTATTTTATTTATTTATTTTTATGTGGTGCTGAGGATCGAACCCAGTGCCTCAATGTGCTAAGCAAGCACTCTACCACTGAGCCACAACCCTGGAGCCAAAACCCCTGTATAACCCATTTTAAGAACATTTTATTAATAAATAAATAAATATATATATATATAAAAGCCAAGAGTAGTATAAACAAGCCTTCATGGACCTTTTCCCATCTTCAGCAATTACCAACGTTTTGTCACTTTTGTCATCTAAGCAGCCCACTATTGGGAGGAGTATTTTAAAGCATATCCCAGGAACCCTATCAATTCACCCATAAACTTAAAAGCCTCTTTTTAGAAGGTGATTACTCTTTAAACATGAACACAAAGCCATTATCACACCTGTTTTATTCAGCAATTTTGCTGCTGTGACTAAAGGGTCTGACCAGCACGATTATAGAGGAGGAAGAGTTTATTTGAGGACTCACGGTTTCAGAGGTCTTAGTCCATAGAAGGCCGGCTCAATTCCTCAGAGCTCAAGGTGAGGCTGAACCTCATGGTGGGAGAAGATGACAGAGGGAAGCAGCTCCCATCACCAAGATCAAAAAGCAGAGAGAGGGACTCCACCCTCCAGGTACAAATACATACCCCAAAGCCATGCCCCAACTCCCACCTCCTCCAGTCACACCCTACCACTTCAGTTATCACACAGTTAATCCCTACCAGCGTATTAAATCACTGCTTGGGTTAAAACTCTCACAGCCCAATCATTTCTCCTCTGAATCTTGCATTGTCTCACATGTAAGCTTTTGGGGCACACCTCACATCCAAATCATAACAACACCTAACAAAATATCTTATTGCTGTTCAGTTTTCCTTAATTTCTTTTCATGGTGCTAGAGGGTTGAACCCAGGGCTTCACATAAACAAGGCAAGCACTCCACCACTGAGCCACATCCCCAGACCCCTAATTATTTTTTAGTTGTAGATGGACACAATAGCTTTTTTTTCTTTCTTTCTTTCTTTATTTTTATGTGGTGCTGAAGATAGAATCCAGTGCCTCACATGTTCAAGGCAGTGCCTCACATGTTCGAGGCAGGCACTCTACCATTGAGCTACAGCCCCAGCCCCACTAATTTTTTTTTTAATACTTGGTTTGTTTAATTTGGCTTCTGAAAATCTCTTTTAAGTTGTTAGTAGTTCCCTGTCTGTTTTTGAAATGGTATATGTTTATTGAAGAAACTGAACCATTTAAACTTCATATATTCTGGGTTTTTCTATTATATATCCTTTTGATGTCACTAATATGTTCAGATGCCCCTGGTTTCCTATAAACCAGTGGTTAGGTCTAGAGGCTGGATTTGATTCAGGATACTCCTTGTTTTTTTCTTTTAGCAGAAATACTTAATAGGTAATACTTGGTATTTCCTATTGATCATAACAGGAGGCACTTGTATTCTCCCATTTAGTAATGTTAAAATTATTCAGTGGGCCAACCTGATTCTTTTTTTTTTTTTTTTTTTAAAAAAAGAGAGAGTGAGAGAGAGAGGGGGACAGAGAGAGAGAGAGAGAGAGAGAATTTTAACATTCATTTTTTTTATTTTTTCTTAGTTCTCGGCGGACACAACATCTTTGTTGGTATGTGGTGCTGCTGAGGATCGAACCCGGGCCGCACGCATGCTAGGCGAGCGCGCTACCGCTTGAGCCACATCCCCAGCCCCCCTGATTCTTTTTTAAAAAAATATTTTTTAGATGTTGATGGACCTTTATTTTAGTCATTTATTTATATGAGGTGCTGACAATCAAACCCAGTGCCTCATACATGCTAGGCAAGCAGTCTACCATTGAGCCACAACCCCAGCCTGCAACCTGATTCTTTAAGGTTGAAATATTTGTCAATTTTCCCTATTCTCAAGATTTACTATCTTCCAAAACCTTTCAGAAGTAGATAGGCCCTCTTCACTATCTACTTCAGAAAGGGTTATTATTATAAAATCTACTGAGATCCTGTAACTCCAACTTTATGGGTGGATAAGTTTATGAGGACAGCTTACCTAGGGTTAAGTGCCACTTTTGATTTCAAATTGGATGAATTGCTTTTTATAATGTAAAATCAAACTGTAGTAATTAGCTGTCAAGCTAAACACTGAATTATGCAGCTTCCTGATTCATATGCCATTTTATTTACTTTTTGTCTTAAAAAAAGCAAAATTTTTATTACAAATATGTAACAGATTCTAATAATCAAATAAGCACTGTTTCTCTTTAGCATACAAACGGCTAGATGGTTCCACTGAATGCTGTAACAATCACAGCCTCACAGATGTGTGCTTTTCCTACAGAAATAATTTTAATAAACGTTTGGTAAGTTGCCCTGAGGCAATCTTGCTTGTCTGATATAATTATAACAAAATAAGCATAGAAAGCTATAATGGAAATTATGAAAATTTCTCCCTTTTTTCTCTGTTTACTTTGTATCATTTTATTAATACCTCTACATTTCATGTCACATTTTATCTGAGAATCTTTAAAAATTTATACTAATGTAATATCTTATATGACCAAGGTGGAATATTTGAAATTAATTTATAGTATATGCACATAAATGGCAATTCCTTTATGTGAACTTCACTGCTAATATGCTAGTTGACATGAAAAATATTGATAAAATGTGACTTGAATTTAATAAATCAATAAATCATTTTAATATTTACTAATTAATATTTTGTTCATAGCATACATGTCTACCTGCCCGGAAAGCAGTTGAAGCCACTCAAGTTTGTAGAACCAATAAAGATTGTAAAAAAAGCTCAAGTTCAAGTTTCTGTATAATACCTTCTTTGGAAACTCACACTCGCTTAATAAAAGTAAAACACCCGCCTCAAATTGATATGTTATACGTAGGACATCCACTACATCTTCACTATACAGGTGGGTATTATTATGGTGGACCTCTAGGAAATTATTAAAATCACCTATATTTTTAGTGTAAAAATTCAGTAGAAGTCCTTGCATTAAGTTTGTTTATTATAAATTTAATCACTTGTCAAAGTCTTATTTTCTTGTTCTTAAGCATTAAATGAAATTTAGGCAGTAGGAAGATAATCTGAATTTCTGAAGCAAGAAAGAGCCTGCCCATGAATAGTGATGAATTTTTACCTTCCCACTATTTATGTCTAAGTCAAATAGGTGATGTCTTAGAGATGTTCTCTGTGAGTTTATTAAATTTATTCAAGCTCCCCCAAATAGTAGCAAGAGCTCCATACCCTAGACAACGCCATGATGTATGGGCATGTATGCATGACACATGAACGTAGGATTACAAAGTTGGGCCAGCATAGTCATTTTACCAGTAGCAACCTGATTGAACTAAATATGTAACTTCTTCATATGGCTTATATAGTCCAACTCATTTTATTGTACAAGATTCCTAATGTTATTTTTTCTTATAACAATTCATCATACAGTTCACACTTTTAAAATGTACAAATCAATGTTGTTTTTTTGTTTTTTAAGAGAGCGGAGAGGG